AATTAATAGCGAAAGAAGAAGGACGGAACGAAGAAGAAAGTAGAAAAAAAAAAAAAAAAGAAAAAAGAAAAAGAAAAAGAAAATAAAAAAGAAGAAAAGAAAGAAAGAAAGAAAGAAAGAAGAAAAAAAGCATCATGAAAAGCATATAAAATTGAGAGTCCGCGGATTAACCTCTTACTGCATCTGCAATCTGCATCTAGATGTAGAGTCAACTTGCAGACGCGACGTTGCCAGTTAAAAGAAAAGAAGTTAGAGCCGCGTTGCTATCGATGTATGCTTTCGAACGTATTGTTTCTTCGCGAGAAGAAACTTTTTTAGAAAAGAAGCTCGCTAAGATTGCACTGTTTCCACGAAATTCCATTTCGTCCTTAAGAAAAAAAAAAAAAGAAAAAAAGAAAAAAGAAAAAACACGTTAGAAATAAATTTATTCGAATTATAATTTTATAACACAGTTGGACACAGTGGTGTCCAACACACAGATATAAACGCAGTCAGATCTTCTTTCGATCTTCCCAGAAGGTTGACATCGAACGAATCGAGAATTTAATAAACATTATTAAATTATACCTATTTAAATTTACCGATCACGCACCAGGCATTAGTATTCATAGTCGTTCAACCAGTGGCTAAGGCTTTAAACGCCTCTATTTAATAATCGATTCATCGAATAACTCGTATTATGGAACTTCTAATGTCTAACGTCGATCGATCGGGAGAGAAGGAGAAAGATAGCGCGCCGTGTCAAATCAATAATTAACCATCAACTATCCATAGCGCATCAACACTGTTATTCAATCAAAAAGCGATCTTAATGAACCAGACGAATTCTTTCCACATCCAACACGCGACACGTCTTATTAATTAATCGTACAAATCATCGAGCGTCGCTTTCCACGATCGAGAGAGAGCAGCGATCAAACTAACTCACCCTTTCCAATTGGCCAGACGATTCCTCCACCTTCCTCCAAATTGAAATTTCAATTTACATCTTGCATCTGCATGGATGATTAAATTTTCTCTATTCACGTATCGACACACGACGGAAAGACAAGGGTTTTCGTGGCGAGTCGGCCACGATGACGGAGAGTGATAGAAGGAATACGGCCGGTGATAGCGGTGATCATTTGCATTTTAATACCGAGCCGACGATAAAGAATCTGTATCTGTCGCGGGCTCCACCTCCGCACTGTCGGTTATAACGAGCCGATCGACACGGCCACCGTTAAATATTTAAACGAGATCGAACGTTGGTGGTAAGCGTTGACCACGTTACACGAGGAGAGAGAGAGAGAGAGAGAGAGAGAGATGATCGCCATCTTGATTTATTTCCCTCTGAATGCGATTCAGGTTGTACGCGATTATCGATAATCGATGTTTACGTAAGTAATAAAAACGCGCGCGTTCAAGTCGTGAGAAAGTTTTCGAAAACGTTTCGGGAAGTTCGAAGTTTGTCGTACGTCGATTTAACCAAATTTTTCTTCGTAAATTATTTCTTTTTTTTTTTGCTTGCTTGAAAAGGAGGGGGGAGAAATAAGCGACGATTTAAAAGTAGATCAACCGGTATTTATTCTTGCCTTTATTTATGGCGCGTTAAAACGAAATTTATAGGAATATAAAACCACAAATGGCGCCGATAACGAAAAATAACTAGAGGGGAGAATAGTTTTCTGCGCGTTTTCTTTTTTCCCCTGTTACACAAATTCGCGCAACAAAGAATTTGCCACGATTTAGATCGATGGAACGTAAATGTGATTCAGGTGAAGGGGAAATGATTCAACGATCACCGTGGATTAAAACGGCTCGTTTCGAAGACGGGGAGCCCGAATTCCTCCTACTTTCTACTGCGCTTAATCTTCGGTAGCGGTAGAGGATCGAGCACTCCTCCATAATTTATCCGTTGTCTGAACGTCTGCCATATGAATTTTCACGGATCACGGATTTAGAGTAGAGCCTGGAATAGAATAATCGTGGGAGGTCGAATCGAGATGTAAACAGGAGGGGGGAGAGGGGAGAGTGAAGACAAAAAAGAGAAAAATCGAGGAAAAAAGAGCTTATTCTTATTCTCCCTCCTCAGAGGAAAATAGCGAAATTTTCTCACGAGGTGGTCGAATTCTTCGATGGCTTCGATCTTGTAACGCGTCGCTTCTAATTGGCGATCGAGAGACTTGTCTAATTAGGACCGTGTGTGTGTGTGTGTGTGTGCTCCTACGATCGGCAATTGGCACGACGCGAAAGTGGGTCGTAGTGGCTCCCTACGTTTTACCCTACGTTCCTCGCCTCGCTACATTTTGCAGACCAGAAATCTGTTGCGCAACCAACTTCGCTTCGAATTCATATTCGAAGAATATCGATAAAGATTATCTGTCGTTCGAAGTCGGCCGTTTACTCGGCTCGTCCCATTCTCGAAGTTTATTAAACGTCACGATTACACTTCTTCTCGATATTATCGTCAAAAGATTTCTAACCGTACTTATTAATCGTAAACTTTCCGACGTGAAGGAAAAGAAATGGAACAGGGAATAGCATGAAAGCAATCTTCGCCGAAACCGCCACGCCACGTTGATGAAACGTTAATGAAAATAATTCTCATTAGTTTCCGACTCTTTACTTCGTTTCTATAGGAAAGTCATTATCTCTCTCGATCCTTCCTATTGTCTCCATTGCCTCTTATTATTATAATGTAGTCGCTTGGAATTACCTTCGTTGCCGGGATATAATGATAGGAGTCAGGCGGAAACTTTTACTGCGTCGAGGAACCGAAGAAAAAGACAAAAAACGCCAGAAACCAACAAGGAACGCGTATAAAGCGTGCTGCTCGCGATAAAGCACCGCGATATCCTCTCGTCGAATCGATTTGTCCACCCTAAAATTTCCTTCCCGAAAACTTCTCCTGCTTGAAAAAAACTCAAACAAAACAATAGCATAAACAGACAAAAACGTAGCTAATCTCCAACACGAGTAATTAAGATAAGGTTATCGTTAACGTTCTCGCGTCGTCGTCGTTTCTGCAAATTTTGCGTATACATAATAATCATTCCGAAATCTTGTCGGATAAACATTTTCTCCACCGTTGAAATCGAACTCGAACGCGATCGTCGAACGAGCAAACGAACGTCGAAACGAGACACGGAACGTAACACGCGTGGCGAGGCTCGCGTGGAATCGAATGTAAATTTTGCGTCAGGTTAGGTTAGGAGGAGGGATGGCGGAGAGGCAAATGGATATTTTATTGTGACGCGAGGTGGCGCGAGCAGAGTAGAGAAAAGGAGGAACAGTTTTTCGAACGCCCTTTCGCTCTGGCTGGGAGCACTTGTGTAAATAGCATTAGGATGCCACTCTCCGCGTTCGGCGGACGGCTTTAATGAGGGACCGTGGATGGGAAGGGGGGGGAGGGGAGGGGTATTAAAGGAGGGTTCTCATGTGACGACACGAACGTTCATCGATCGTACGAACGGCGAATTCGAAAGCCGCAGGCCAACTAGCGGAGGGATGGCGAGGGGCGAGAGAGAGAGAGAATGGAGGAAATTA